TATGGAGTCTAAATGTGTGGCAAAACTAAAGCATCGTGCAGATGCTCCTATACCAGCAGCTTATTTTACATATTGCAAAGTGTAGAGATAATTCCCAGTAGCAAATGCACACAAAACCCAACCTATTCCACATTGAATGCAAATTTGGATTGTTGGACAAGGTGAATTTTGAGGGGTGAGTGGGACTGAGTTGAGCTGCTGCTGCCTGGGATTACAGCTGCCTTCAGCTGGAAATGGGACTTGGAAAATGGGTCTCTCTGCAACCTCCCCACTTCAGACCAGCCATGTGTACAGCAGGGATGGATCAACAAGGAGTGAGAAGGGTTAAATAAACAACAGAGCCAGGACTAAATAGGTAAATGCTGAGGAATTCTCTTTTTTAACATGTATATATATTGAGAAAAAAATTAAGGCAACATTCCTCCCGCTAATTAGTGTTTCCTCAGCACTGTGCAAACTACAGCTGTAGGAAGAATTCAGGAAAAGTAATCAGCAGCACAATTAAGCAATCTGCCATAATGACAGAACACAACTTTAGGGATAGAATAATCAGAAACATATATATTTCTCCTTCTTGATTTTCATTTCCCACCCAATGATTTGCCTTTGCAGGGTGTATATAAAGCAGTGCCTGATAGAAATGCCCATATTTCTCTGCTACAGCTTGCAGACCTTGCTGCAGTGAGGATGCCCATGTTAATTCCTGCCAATCACTGACAACTAATGTTATTTTTACTGTTATTTTTGAAAACCTAATGTTTGATCTGCTTTAATCCTAATTTTGCCACCCTGTCTCATATAAACTCCCTTCACTCCTTTAAGTTAGAGACTCTAGCTCCTTTAAGTGGAAGATATCCAGACAAGAAATCCTGGAGCCGAGGTCCCTTTTTTTCCTGCCAGCCATCCACCCAAGGAAGCAGAGCAGGGAGATGCTTCACACTGTGTTTGTGCAACCTCCAGCTCTGCTCAGGAGAGGAAAACGCCTACACCTGTGAGCAGACAGTGAGGGGAATGGGCCTGACCCGCTCCATCTGCACAAGCTGTTTTCCCAGAGCTCCCTCAGGCTATAGGAACTGACAAAGAAGGTAGGCTCCTCTCCAAGGAGGTGGTTTGGAAGGGAGAAGGGAAACATGACCCTTGAGAAGGGGCTCCCATGCATTTCAGCTCTCTGCCAGTCGTGGACCAAGGCTGGTTGGAATGAAGCCACAGGAGAGAGGGAAGCTCGTGTGTTGCTGTGGGGAGGTAGGTGTTCTCCTTGGGCTCTGCTCGGGGTGCTTACTGGCTGCTGGGAGGGGGCTCTCATGAAAAACCAGGAGAGAAGCAGTTTTGGTGGAGTCAGGAGTGATCTGTGTGCCCTGCTAGGTCACAGTCATTAACAGTGGGACTCGGTGAGTTTTGTGGTGGTATTTCCCAGGAGCCGCTGAAATTATTGGAGAAGGCCACCAGCCTTTCCCTGGGAGGTGGCAGCACTGCAGTGATGTTGAGGATCTTTCCAGGATGGTGGAGCAGGTGGGATTGCTCCTGAAGGCGTCTGGATGGAGCTCTCAACTGTGCTTTGTTCAGCTGGGGTGTGTTGGTGCCCTATTATCCTCCCACAATCATGGACTTCCTCCTGCTCATTCCCAGATGGAGCTTTTATTATTCCCCTGTATGAAAAGGTCCTGGAGGTTGGCTGGTCCTGGAGGTTCTTAGAAGTGGCTCAAGTTTGTAGCTTCTGGTGTGAGAGAAGGCCTTAGGTATTTTGAATTTACATGTGGCTGGTAAAAACTTAGCTTCCATCAGAACTAAACTAGGAATTGTAAATGTTGTATTGAGGAATCTTTATAAGTGCAGTTCTCTGGTTTGCATCCTATATAACCTAATAAAATGACAACTATGAAGTTACATATTTTGACAATTAAATTTTCATAATGGGATAAGTGCAGCTTGCAGCCTGGAATTTTGATAACCTGAAAAACTTTTATTTTTGTCTTAGGGGATAAGCTTGACATAAAAACTTAAAGAAACACCCTAATACTGAGGAGCCCAAGACCTCCTCATGTGCAGGAAGATGTGAGTTCCACCAGCTTCAGGCACTAATGAAAAATCTTAATGCCACTTAAATCAGTTTCTGGTATTTGTCTTAGTATGGCAAAAGATAGGGACTCTTGGTGGCCAGATTCTTCTGTCACTAAAGCTGGTGAAAAGTCACATTACCATGACCTGTTCCAGAGCTCTCGGATCAGAACTGGTGCTATTTTGTGAGCTCCCTTTTCATCTGGGACACTGGCCTGCAAACAAACAGACACACAGAGCTGTTCCTCCTCTTCCTGTGTGCCCCTGTTAGTGGAAATCATTGGGAACACCAAGTCCAGGGAGCAGAAATGTGTCTATAAAACTCGTTCACAAAATCCTAAACCATGAAGGAATGCTGGGTTAATTTTTCATCTGAGTATCAGCTGAAAGTAATGTAAACCCCAAATTAATGCAGACAATGCCTAGTCTGGTCTGCAGGCCCTCTGTATTTTTGAATTCTTTTCTACTAAAACTCAATAAAAACATGGGGGTGGAAGGTGCTGCTGGGAATTTGCTTTTTGTTCTGCTTAAGTGCTGTATTTCTCAGCAGTCTTCAAGTTGCTCAGCATGAAGATATTGTTACATTAGAACTACTGTGGGTTTAACACAATTCAGAATTTGCAGGCAAATGGATATATTGTGTTGGGGCTTATCCACAAAGGACTGTGAAACTACAAATTACAACCCAGCTGCATTCTCTTATCTGGAATTTTTCCCCCTCATGTTCCTGTGACTCCTCCCCTGCTCACAAGCAGAAGGTGTAAGAAGAAACCCAAATGAGAAAAAGAGATATAAGCCTGAAGTCAGAAGGAGCCCTGACACTGGAGATCCTGCCCTTGTCTGTGGGTGCTTTCCATTAGCAGAGGATGTGGTGCCTCTGGATCTAGTGTTTTAGTGATTGCCTGAGAACTTTGTTTCTGTAATTTTCCCTAGAAAACTGTGGCAGATGTGGCAATAGTCAGCACATCCACTGAATGCTTCTCTGACAATGAAGAAGAAGGGGGCAACTCTTTTTGGATTGTTAAATAAGTCAAACATAGGATCCACCCATGTTAGGTTCTGAGCTGTTCTTGGTCCTCATTCTTCCTTTCTGAAGGGAATGAAAAACCCCCAGTAAGTCCCTATGGGAGAAGTAGGAGATATTTACACTTAGAGTAGTTTGAGACAAGGCTTCAGCAGCTGTTGCTAGTCCTGGGCAGGTTTTGCTAACCTTGTCCCAGTTACAGAGCCAAGGCCAGGTTTTGTACCAGAGCCCCGTGCCACAAGCATGGACAGCAGTGGAACAAGCAAGTCTGTCTGGGTAGAGGTGCTGCACCACAGAGACACAAGACAAGTTCTTGGCTTTCATTCTTCAAAGCAAAGGGCCATATTAGCTGATTTGAGTGATACTCTGCACACCTGCTAGCCAGTAATAGGCTGAAAACTCAATGACCCCACCATAATGTTGTTATGTTTATTTGCTTCCTTTCAAATGGCTGTTCTTATGAAGGATGCTGACAAATGGGACCTGAACTCATGCATTTAGTGGACCAGGAAATAAATATATCAGAGAGACAGTACTTCTTTGGACTCTTCTGAGACTTGGGAGTTGCTGGCCATTCTGTTTGTTGGCTCAGTTTAAGCAGCAGAAATGTCCATGTGTTCTGTCAAAGCACTTTACTTGTGACAGGCAAAGTGCTGCCCTGACCTGGAAAACCATTCAGAGCAAATAAATGCATTAATTCAATGTGGAGTATCTTATATTTGATACACACCACTTCCTAATCACTTTACTGAACATCTGGATTGCCTTGAAATGAAACCAGTGATGGCGTCATCTGCAATTTGGACATGGGATCCATTTGGGAAAGCTTTTTCCAGGAGAGCACCTCTTGGATCTTGGTATGATTTAGGTTGGGTCCTACAGGTCTAATACAAAGTAAATACAATTAAGGGTTGCTTCACTGCTGAAGGAGGACAGAAAGTAGCACGAAGGAGCCAGCTGGGCCCTTTGATACTTGTAGTCCAAATTGTAGGATCATATTAAAAAGTGCAGATGTTACCAAGGAGCAGGGATTTTTCATATGTCTGAAACAGGGTCTGTGCCCCTTTCTCATAGGGCAGTACAGGTATGTTCTTGCAAAAGAAATGAGAATAATTAATTCTGGCTATTAACAGGGTACAAGAGGCTAAAGTTAACCCAGTTGTGCTGGTAAAAGTTTCTAAGGAACACCAAGGGTGCAGAGACACTGCACTGGCTGCTGTAAGCGAGAGCGATGACTTAATGAACGAGAGATGCACTTGCATCGCAACTCAGGCTCAGCTGAGCAACAGCAAAAACTATTTGAAACGTCTTTTTGTCAACATCTGTTTGTCTCTGAGTTCATGAAAGTGGAAAAGAATCTCATTGATTTATTTTTTTCTTGTGTTGAAATTTTGCACAATTGTTTCAGTTATTTTGGCAGCCAAAATGATACTGGAATGTTTCACCTTCTTTTTCCAAGTTTTTGAGCGGAGTTGTTCAGTTGAGGTTTGTCACATAAACCATGAGGTTTTACTTCTGCTGCTAGCCAAATTATAATCTTTATAACATAAGCCTTTTGTTGTTTATTTCTTTTTCTTTAAAACTCCAGCTTCTGGAATCATGAGAATGCATGAAAATCTCTACTCCTGCTTTCTGTCATATGTTTGTTTTCCCTTGAGTTTTTAGCACTGAGAACTATGGAGAAACTTCTGGGTGTCATCTGAGAGATGAAAAATAGAATTCATTAACATTTTTTTTTGTTTGTTTTGTTTTGTTGGTTTTGTTTTTTAAATACCACTGGGATAATTTTCGGAAACTATGACTCATGATTTTAATGTTTAGATTTGGCAGTGCTGTAGTTCTCCCTAGGACCAGGAGTGTTGGAAGAAGCCATGTGGGGCTCATCTCCACGGACAAGTTCCAGCACAGAGAGCCAGGGTGTGAATTTACAGTGCCCTACTTAGGTTGCACAGATTCCTCATGAGGATGCAGAGTGTGCAGTACCTGCCCTTTGGAAGCATTCTCAGGGCATGTCTCTGTGACATCCAGCCCTAGAGCTCTCACCAACCTTCTCCAGCTCTGGACTGAAGGCAGCAGAGCCATTCCATGCTTCAAACTGCACTTACTGGCATGAACACAGCTCCGAGGTGAGGCTGCTGTGGGGGTACTGAGCACCTCCCAGCTGTGCTGGGCTCTGTGGTTGTAGTGGGTGGGTTATCTTTGGGTGCTCCAGGTGATGCTGAGCCTCCTCAGGTGCCTAGGGCTGGCTCCTCCTCCTGGCACCCACCCCCTGCATCTGAAGGGGAAACTGAACTGGTCCATTTTCTGAGTCTGTTGGTGAGGACTCGAGGCTCTGGAGCCAACCTTTCCATGCAGAAAAACCGAATGTGCTCAGCAACAGCCCAGGGCCCTGCAGGGAAAGCAGTGACCCCTGTGTGACCTCTGGGGGGCTTTGTGAGGCTTGTATGACTTGGTTTAACACCAGAACTTGTCTGTGGGTTCCCAACCTTCAGATTGCTCTGAGCATGGCTTGGCTCCTCGAGTCACAGGGATGGGAAAACTCTTGGGCACCCAGTGGGCAATACAGTGGGTGAGGATGGCATGATCTTGAGGGAGAAGTTTGAAGTTCCTTTTGGCTGTCCCCATCAACTGTAGAGGGAAAAAAAGGAAATGAGCAGTGGGGAATACCCGGTAAAGGGGGACAAGGGGGAAAAGAAGTCACTTAGGAATTATTCAGCCCCTAGTGATGGAAAAGCTGGGGTAGCTGTGGAATACCTGCTGTACCCAAGGCCAAGTTTGAGCAGCTGCTGAGATAAAACCCAGGAGACAGAGATGTTGCTGCTAGAGCAGCTCCTGTGGCCAGGCCAGGTGGAGGGAAGAAGCTGCTGTGGCTGGAGCCCTCCAGGAAGGGTGCTCTGCCATGGGAAAACCAGGACGCTGCAGGGCGCACTGGGGCGGAGGAGGGCTGGGAGCAGGCTGAGGTCTCTGCCCCTCAGGAAGCTGTGAGGGATTTGTGTGTTTTCCAAGGCAGCAGAGACAGGATGCTGAGGGGTGGGAGAGAGACAGATTTCCTTCTGCAGTGAATAGACTGGGGTGGGGGATGGCGGCTCCAATTTAACCCTTGCCTGTTCCTTTCATCTCCAAAATGAAATGGTGGCTTAGGAAACCATTCCAACAAACTGCATAAATGAGAGGCACAAAAAGTACTGGGTTGTTGGCACCAAGGTGATGCTGTGAGTATATTATCCCAGTTCTCTCGCCCCCAGGCATGTCTCCCTGGCTCTGGCATTCCTTTTTACTTTGAAGTTTGTTTGTTCAGTGGCACTGGCATTGCTATGACCCACATGAACACCAGTGATGCCAAGGGAGAGGCTTATGGGGCATTACCTTGCATCAGGTAGAAGCAGCTCTTGGAAGACAGCTGCAGATTTGGGTGCTGTAATAATTTTTCAGTAGAAGCCTGAAAAGATGGGATTTCATTTGTCTTTTACATCAAGGGTGGGGAAAAACATCTTAGGAGTAACTCCTGGAATGGTTTCTGTTCTTGTTCAACAGTGAAGGCTCTTCTGCATCTCTTGTAAGGTCATTAGTAGGACAATCTAGAGGAGAAGTGGAAGAAAACCCAACTACCATCACTCCCACTCCCACCAAACCCTTGGAAATGCCGTGGAAATAGGACCTGCGTGAAGACCTTTAGGGCATAAGCACATGAAGTGTTTGGGAGAGGTACCTGGAACATGGGAATCCAGAGAAAACTACTTTGTTTACTGCACCAAAGTCTCCCAGAGCTGTGGAGAGTCCGCACGGATGAAAGTTGGCAGCCAGGCTGCAGGTGTGGTGAAAGAGACGTGTTTTCTAAACACTCCAAATACTTATTGCTCCGGTCTTTTGTAGATAAAGATCAGCTCTGACTTTAAAAGAAATTACAGCAGAAGTGCTTGTATCTGGGAGGATGAATACCTGCTTCCAAGTTGGGCTTTGTAGAATTGAACTTCATAAACAAATTACTTGCTGGGATTAACCAAGTCAGAGGGTTGAAGGAAATGTGCCTCTGACTCTGACAGTATCGGGGTGGAAGCTGTAATGTGTTGACCAGAGAATTATCCTGGGTAGGAACAAACAGCCACAAGGTTCTTGGGTGTGAGGTTTCCCATTAAAACAATAACTTTCCTCTGAAAAAAACCCATGGCAGAAAAAAATAACCCTCCTGAAAGCCTGATTTTTTTCTGAGATTCAAAACACTGACTTGACTCTGCAGATGTTTGATGTACAAGGATGGCAGAGAGCAGCTGTGAATGAGAAAGAGCTAAGAATTTATAGGAAAACATCTGGTATCTAGACTGACCCGATAAAGAGTTTTCAGTAGCTCTGAAAACAATTTTGCCCTGTGATTGTGCTAATTTCATGAGCAAAAGCAGTCCTTGCACTGACCTCATTCAGTTTTATGAGTTTGAAGGTTGGAATACACAGATATTGGCCGACTTGTCCCTATGGTAAAGGTGACTTTAAAAAAAACCAAACAATAAACAAATATAAAACAAGAAAAATTGAATGTTTTTGTGATGACATAGGCAAAAATATTGCAAAAACAAAATAAAAAACATTTAAAGCCTGAAATAGAGGGGCAGACAAGACAAGCTGACCTTCCCAGAGCCTGCTTCGAGAAACAAAAACATTTCCTCATGCCAAGCATGCTCTGCATGAGCTGAGTTTGCTTGGTCTCAAGCTGATGACAGTGTCTTTTGCTGCTTTTTACAAAACAAATGCAATGGGGAAGATGGTTCTCTGTTAGGGCAATATTTTTTTCTTTCTTCCAACTGGGATATCAAGTGCCTGTCTGGTATCTGAGCCCATTCACAAACTGGGCAAGGCTGGACAAGCCATTTCACCCGGGATGAAAATCCTACCACAGCAGGGATGTGCAAGGATTGAAGGAAATACTGCTTTGTGCTGTTTGGAAATTATTCACTTTCCTTGGGATAAAAATATATATTTATGGGGAGATTTCCACCCTTTTTTAGGTGGGATTAGCTATGCTTTGGTGCTCACAGCAGTTGACAAGGAGGAGACAATGGGAGAACACGATGTGTTGTGCTGTTGTCTAAAAGCAGACGGGTAGGTGGGAACCTTCAGGCAGGTTTCTGCCTGCAGTGCTTCTGGTTTGGTACACCTGGCCCGTGGCAGGCAAACCTGGATTGCCCTGTGTGTCCTCATGAACCTGAGCACAGGGCTCAGGTCTCAGCAGCCACCAGTGTCACTGTGTGTCCCCTGAGAGCTGACAGCATGGGCAGAGGCAGTGCTGCGTGCAGAAATGCTCTGGAGGTCGGTGTGGGGGAGAGGGAGGGTGGGGAGATGTGCTGGGATGTGTGGGCTGTGCAGAGTGCAATGTGTGAGTGGGACATGAGTGCAGGTGACATCCCTCCCTCCAATGAGCCCTGTCCATCCCATCCACTCCAGCCTCCTCCCCCAGGCTCCAGCCAAAGTTCTCACCCCATCCAACTGCTCCAATTTGTGCTGTGAGTTTTTTTCTTTATTAAGAAATAAATTTCTTAATAAAGAAAATTTCTTGGACTCTGTTTTTGAGTCCAGCTCCTTTTAATCTGTCCCTACCATGACTGAGGTTAACAGAGTTTCCTGCCCAGCAGCCTCTGTGGCAAATTAGAGAGAACCAGTGAGACACTGTCAATAAACTTCCCACTGTATAGATTTTGTCCAGCAGAGCCTGAATAAATTGGGTCATGCTGCCATATGTAATCCATGCACTTGAGGTTTGACCTAGCTCCTGTGCAAACCAGTGGGCAGGGATGTGTCTGGGAGCTGGACTGGAGCTCTGGCTGAGACAGCCGAATTTTGAAAGAGCTGGGGTGGAGCCGTGCCGTTCATTTTTGTGGACCAGTTTCATTTGTATGGGAAGATGATTGATGTCTTCCCGCGGGAGCTTTTGTCTGTTCTGGAGTGTGTCTCGAACAACATTGCCAAGATACCTTGGGGCTGGGTTAGGTAATTATTTTGTGATTAGATACTGAAATCAAATAAATAAGTTAATCATTTTACAAGTTCAGAAGAAAATACATTTATTTAATCTGAAACTTCTTCACAATAGCAATGCATAACTCTGTCTTTTTCTGCATGGTGTTGGCCTCAGGTCAGATGATTTCCCACCAAACCATTCGCTAGCATTCCATGGCCCTGATAAAGCAAAGTCACCTGTTCAGAAGGAGGCAGGATTCTTGTCTTTTTCTCTTTTGGGCAGTTGATGAGAACCCTGCAAGTGGTGGTGATGGGCCAGCCTGGCTGCCATCAGTTGTCACAGTTCATATTGGCAGCACAGAAAAGATTAGTGTGCTAACAGGGGAGACTCCTCTTTTGAAAAGAGGCTTTAAATGATGTCAAGAACCACCACAACGATATGGTTTTTACATAAATAATAATTAATTACATGTAAATCAGACTTTTCCCCACCCCTTCCATTAGTATCGTCTTTGCTAAGCTCTCTGTCTTGTTTCTGTCCACTCACTCTGAGTAGTTGAATGGCAACAGACATCATTTGCAATGCTAACGTCAGATACGGGTCAAAATGGACAAGGAAAACACAACCCGGGGTTTTATCACTGCAATAACAACTAGTTCTGTCTAGAGATGGCAGTGTCCTGGGGTTTAACCTCTTCACTGCCACAGAGTCAGAAACAGCAGGGATTTACTTTCCTTGGTTTCCTGCTCTGCTGTTTCTAACTTATTCTCAGCCCTTTCCTCCTCCTTGCCACTCTCTTTTTCCCCCCTTCTCTCCCCTTTCTGATGTTTACAAGAGCATCTGCTAGTGTTTATCTCCCAAGACACAGGAGACTGTTGTTTTCATAGATATGTAACTGGCCTAAAAGCTTTAATCTTTGTTGATGTTGGACTTTTGGATTAAAAAATAGTCATAATAATGGAAAAACTTAAGATGAAATAATACTTCAGCACAGAACACTTTGGAGACAGCATCAACAGAAAACCCTTCACAGGGAAAGCTGCAATTACTGCATCTCCTTCACAGGCAGTGCTGAACTTGTGGGGAGAGCAGGGCAGGGAGTGAGGAGACCAATTCCCTGAGATGAGACTGCTTGTTCCACTGGAAGCTGAAAGTGTGGCATCTCCTCGTGGGCATTTCTGCATGTGCTCCTGGAGCAGGAGTTTAAGCAGACCCAGAAATGCCAACAAGATGTTAGAAATCTGTTTCCATCTCTGCTGGCTTCCAATGCTGCCTTCCAGGAAGGCAGGGAAGGAGCTGATCTGGATTTTAGCAGTTACACTACACATGACCTGGGGTTTGTATCCCCTCTGGAGTAAAGGCTGTGCTGGAGGTCAGAGGAGGAGATGGTGTCTTGGATTTGGTCTCTTGCTCTAGAGAAGTATGCTGGTTTTCTCTGAAAGCTTCAGAGATGCTGAGATTGGGTTAATTAGAAGTTGTCAAGATACAGCAAGAAGTGTTGCTGTCATCGGAGAGATGTAGAAAGTGTTACAGAAATTGGGTAGCAAAAGGCAGGTAGGTGTCTGCTATCTGCAGAAGATCTTATTTGCTGCCTTCCCAGGGGACTAGGCACTGTCCCAAACCTGCAGCAAAGTCAGCTAGGCTGGAAGCAGACCTGCAAAATCCTGGTGCCTGCTGCTTTCCTAGCAAGAATATATTCAGTTGCTAATATTGTAAATGCTTGGTAGTACATTTTTATAGCAATAGCATTTATGTAACTTAAGATTTTTATGTAATTTAGGATTTTAAATTAAATTTCTTAATTCAGGTGCTGCATACCTCACTTTCCACCCCTGCTCTCCTGCCACATAAGGTGTAAACCCGACTGCAACCTCTCCCAACTTTTTTGGGATAAAACATTTTTTGGAAAACCCTCACTTTGGGAAGGCGGTGAGCCGATGCAAGGGAGCTTAGCAGTAATGAACCAAGCTAATAAATTACCTAATGTCACCTTAGGATAGGTCTGTGGCCGCCTGTCACACAGCAGCACATCAAGCTGGAGATGCACAGTCGGTCTCTCCTGACCTTTGTACCTCCTCCTGCTAACCAGGGATCTGGTTCTGGAAAAGACCAGGCCTGTGGAGTCCTGCAAACTGAAGGGTAAAATATTAATAAGCCAAAGAGGAGCTGGAGGTGTCAGTGAGGCTCCTGCACAGCACAGCCATGGGGGAGAGTGCTGCTGGTCTCCACACAAAGGGAATGGCAAACGGTTTCTCCGCAGAAAATTTCACCCAACCAATTTTTTTTGCATGCAAAAATGCAGATTCAGCAGCACCAAAACGGTCTGTGCACACATGCCAAACTTGTCATTTATAAAAACTCAAAAAAGCTCTGACAAATGCTGAAGCTGTTAGTTTTGACACTTCTGACATGAAACACTTTGATTTTTCATTTTGAAACTACTTTGTGTTCAAAATGTCCTTTAATTTTATTTTCAAGCAAGGGGGTGTGTGTCTTTTTTCTTATTCCCCCAAAAAAATCAAAATTGAAATGAAATCTTCAGATTGACTCAACATGAAATTGTTCTTGGATTTTTGATTTCACAAGGCTTTTTTTTCTTAGATGTGTTTGGCTTCAAGTCACTTCTTTTTCACCCCCAAAATTTGCCAGTTGGTTTATCAAGAACCACAGCGAACATCAGCCCCTTTGAAGGGGTGCAGCTGCCACAATAGAATATTTTTTTCATGGCTGTCAGTTGCAGAAAGAAGGGAAAAAAAAAAAAAAAGGAGCCTTGCTTTTGCTTTCCAGGAGATTGAGTTCATTTTCTATCTGACAGGGATAAATAATAAACAGTATTTTTATTTTTTTTTTCTGCTGTGAGGGATTGTGTTACGTTATCTGTTTAAACATTCCGTTACATTTTAGTAATGTGAATAATGATTATTCCTGTGCTTCTGAGCTCTCTCTCTTGGCTCGGGCTCCGGAGGTTCAGGAGACACCTGGCATTGTTGACAGAGTGCTGAACTTGAACGCCTCTCACTGTGACAGGGCAAGCCCAAATATTTTGGGAAGAGTCCTTGTTATGTTACGACAGGGGTTGGTAGCACTGATGCTGGGGACGGGTTTTGCTTTAATACAGAGCTGATTATGCTTTATTATTCAGGGAACAGCATGAGCTTTGGCAGGCAGGCTGCTGGGAGAAGAAGGATTGCACTTGGGCACTTCTTATTTGTAGGATGTGCTGAAGGTCTTCCAAGAGATGCTGTCTCTCAGAAGAGGCCAGGATGGGAGGCCCTGAAAGGCGTTTTTCTGTGGGTGAGAAAGCGGAAGAAATAAAGCTTTTTTCAAAATAATATGAATGTTTAATGTAGTCCCTACATGTAGACAAATACCTGGGGAAGAGCTTGTATTAAAATACCTTATTAATCATATTTTCCATCCCTCAAGGTGGTGTTTGCTTCCTACAGTGTACATCTTCCCTCTTTTATTGGTTTCCTCTCCTGAAGTCAAGCTGCATCTTGGCAGTGCTTTGTGCATCTTCAGAACTGCACGAGTGTCCAGCTCGTGGTGTTTAATTGGTCATAGACTTTCAAGAAGATTGGATGTCTTGTGGCTTTTGCCAATTCACGTACGGCACGTAATTATATTCAGGAAGCAATAGGAATTAAATGACATTAATTCCCATGAATATTCATTTAAGAATCTCGACCAAATTCAGGCAGATTAATAGTCCAATGCAAATACAATGGCTATTCATTGCCCCCACAGGAAAAGGAAATATGTATTGGCTGGCAGCTCAGGACAAATGGAAATGTGCTATAGAAAAGTTATCTCTGGGTGGCTTCTGGTACAGTGGGGGCTGGAGGGACACCTCCAGGAGTAAAGGGGATTAGTGTGGGTACGGACGTGGGGAGCCTTTCCCATCCACTAGGAACCCAGAGGAGTCTGGGGTGAATCCAAGACTCATGGCTCTGCACTGCCCATGCAAATCCAAACCAACTCTGACTGCACTGGAGCTCCTCTGGACTCACAACAGAGCAAAATGTCATTCATTCAGCGCCTGACTCGCGCTGCCCTGTGTGTGGAGCCAGGCTCCAGCCTGCTCTGCCTGGATCGTGGTGCTGCAGGCCAGCACAGCCATTCCTTTCCCTTACAAGCAGCACTAAGCTGCTCGCTGCCTGCTCTGCCACAGCCAGCCCAGCCCTCGGGGTGGCTGCAGGGCAGCCCTGTCCTGCCAGGCACCTCCTGGCACACGGGAGCTCGGTTCTGCTCCAGCTTGTCCTCCCAGCACAGGCCAGGACATGGCTTCTGCTGTGGCCAGGGAAACTGGGAAAGTAGAATAGCAAAAGCAGATGAAGGATGCAAATGTGTTTGCAACTGAGGGATCAGAATTCGGGATGCTGGAAACTCACCTCCCCAACGACAACAACATTTTATTTAAAAAATAATCTGGGTTTGGTTATAGCTCTCATTTGGGAGAACTTTTCATTTTGTCAGACAAGCCAACTTGAGACCTTGGCTGTGTCACATTGTCTCTTGGTGGGGCTTCCCCAGTTGGAGAACAGATCCCAGTTCTACTGAAGCTGGTGCAAGTGTTGCCAAGAGCATTTGGCTTAGTCTAAGCTGATGTTTACACCTTTTTAAAATTCCCCCTCATAGATGAGTTGACCTTTCCTGTCCTTGAAGTTCTCTGAGCAAAAGAAAGGTCCAGTTATTTCACCTTGCACATGTACCATGTGATGGGCAGAGCTGCATTTTATACTTTTTTGAAGGTTATTTGTTGCCAGACTGATCTGACTTGCCCTGACTGCACCAAAAACAAGGAAATGTGGAAAGCAGCAACCATCATCTTGCCAAGAAGGGGTTTTGCCTCAAGTTGCAGTATGAGGGTACTCACAGGGCTGCTTCTGCTTGTGCTTACTTGAAACGAAGTCAGATAATCATAAAACCAGGCTGTAAATCCAAAGTACATTTCCCTTTATGTTTCCCAACTTTTTGGGACTGTACATAGTGTGTATCTCATCTTTTCATGTCTGATGTAAAAGGTAAAATAACAGCTGAGTACCCACATGGGCTCTGCACCTACGCAGGAGTGCCAAGTGGGCCAGGAACCCGCCGTGCAGCCTGGTGATGTGCCCTGCAAAGCCTCATAAACCAGTGACTAAGGTGGAAAGGACTCCAAGGCCTGGCTCCTGGGACATTGGAGGTGTGGCATTACAGTAGCTTGGAAAACATTCTGACTTTATAACAAGTAACACCTATAATTACAGAGGCATCATCACCTTCATCGTTTTTTTTTTTTTTAGCTAGCAAACTGTAGTCGTAGCCTGTGTACATCCCTGCCAAAATCTGCCAAGCATTTGCTCTTGGGATGGTTTTTGCCGGTGGTGGGAATATCAAGCATCTTTCTCCAGGCACTTGTAAAACAATACAGCAGTAAACAATTCAAGTACAATTAGCAGCTACATCGGCAAAGGGGGAGGGAGAAGTCCCACTGCTGGTACTGTCTGTGGAATTAATCATGTTTTACACAGTTGATATACTGGTTTGGATGTGTGAAGTTAAAAACAGGAGATGAAGAAGTAGCCAATAAGCATTTATTCGAGGGTGAAATGTAAAACATGTATTTTTTTTTCAGCGGTATAGGGAAGAGTGTTTAAAAAATGCTCTTTTAACAGGTTTAGCTCCTTTTTCTTCCTACTGAAGAAATAGATGAACTAAATGAATAAAACAAGACACGCTGAAAATGTTGTTTGTTTTTAAAGCCTGTGGACCCGCCGGTGACACAAACCCCGCTGTCTCCTGCGGTACCGGGGCTGGAGAAGCGGGATGCTGAAGGCTCCGCTCCCGGTTCTCGCCCGTTCCCGGCCCCGAGCGCTCCCCG